GGGGGTGGCACGGGGGGCCCCTTCTAAAACCCCCTTTTCCTGGGGGTTTTGGGGGGTTTTATAAAATTTTTTTTTAAATGGGGGGCCCCCCCCCCCCCCCTCCCCCGGAGTGTGATATAAGAAAACGCTGTGCCCCCTTACCTCGCGCTCCAGGGCATGGATAGTGCACTTGGAACCCGAAATTTCGCCCGGCCGCGTTTTCAAGCTCATGGGGAACACTGTCCCGTGGTATCCCCGTCCAGACGTCAGGCCTTCTCCGATCGTTTCCCTTATTCCGCCGGAAAGGGCAAGAAAAGGAGCGTACTGCTCGGAGGGCGCGCGTCGTGAAAAATGCGGGGGGGGGGGATGTGTTACTTAGCCGTAGTTTCATGGTGTGAAAAAAAGCAACAGGAGCGGAAACCGAAAAGCCTTGCTTGTCCTGGTCCGAGAAAAGGAGCAAAACACTCGCACAAACAGAAACAATAGAAAACGGGCCTGTTGTACTTTGGACAGTATAGAAGCGCGCGCAGCAACGGCAGAGCGACGAACGGCCTCGCGTCGACACAACACACCCCACACATGACACCGCCTGATGCTTCTCTACAAGACTTCCCCTTGAAGCCTACTATAATACCAGAGTTCATTACTCCTTTCAAGACTATAAACTCACAAGACTACGGCTTCCTGCCAAAAACGCCTGTGTCCTCAAGGGCTACCTTCCACACCAAAAATCCAAAAAAATTGAAAATTTCGAACAAAAAACAACAACGGCAGGGCATATACTTGTTGACACAATAAACTTTTCGCTAACTTACACCGGACTTTTGTCCACCGATACAGAGATGATCGCGTTCGTTTTCTGCAAGAACCAAAAATAAACCACCAGATCGTTCACAGAGCGTTCCCCGCCAAACCGCCCGATGACCAGCTCCTGGTTCATCCTTGTGCAACGTAGCCTAGGCCGGCCAAAACTCGGCACATCGCTCCGTCCCGGACGCTACGGTCTACCGACTAGTACGGCATTCGTTTACATGAGTGTATACCCACACCTGGTGCGGAAACTGGTTTAGAACGTCCTCCCTCCGTACGACGTAGCTGCGACCGATGGGGTCCCGCCGAGGCCCCCCCGAATGGTGCCGCCCCCCACCCCCCCCGATGCCAGTAACCGGCAGCCTGTTAGCCGCCGCTCCCGCAGACGACGAGAAGGCGGAGCGGGGCCGCGGGGCCGGCTGACCGGCGGCGGCGGCGGCGGCGGCGGCGTTGCTACTGCCGGGAGAGGCGTTATTCTTGACGAAGAAAGAAGAGGACGGCGACGACCCGCGAGAGGACGAGGAGGAGGACCGTCGGGAGCGGGGAGCGGCGGCGCTACTACTAGTAGCGGATGCTGACCCACTCTGCTTGGTGTGTTGGCTAGGAGGCCCGCCGTCTGCCGAGGGTAGCGTCGGGGGGTCCGCACCCGAGAACAGGTACTCCCCGCAAGGGTCGAACAGGAAGAGGGAGTCGTGGCTCAGGACCTGAGAGAGAGAGAGAGAGAGAGCGCGCGTGCGCGGGATTCATTCGATCATCATTCATCAGGTTCATCGGTCCGGTCGAGATCGTGTGCATTCGTCGGGGTTCTTCGACGCAGCGAGTCAAGTCATCGAGGAGGTTGGGGGGGCACGGCACTCCAGCTGCCATCGAGAAGGGGGAGGCACGACACGATCCTTTCCTTGAGCTTGAACGGCAAAAATGTCTGGAAGGCAAGAAGCACATGGAAAATGAGACCCCCCGCCCCTCCCCCCCTCGAAACCACGTACCCCCTTCCTTTGAAGACTAGCCTTCACAACGCCGCCTGCTGCCTTCGCAAAAAGAAAACACACCACCCGCCTCGCACTACAAAAAACATCACAAAACAAGCCGACCTGCAAGCAGTCCGTCAGCGCAAACAGGGCGGTCACGCTGTTGCCCATCCTCGGTCTCCCCATGCTGCCCCCGCCCACGCCCAGGTCGCCGGCCACGCCTCCTGCGGGTTTCACTGGGCTCGACAGCATCATCGTGAGCTGCTTGTCGGTGACCACTGTCCCCGGCAGAACAACGCAGACCGAGGGCCCCTGGATGTCCGCAAGGGCTGGGTGGAGAAGACTCTGCTCCTCGTACTCCTGTTAGATAAGTTGTGGGATGTTTTTTTATCGGGGGGGAGGGGGCGGGACGAGGTCGGTATACACGTGTGCGCATTTTTCGTAAGTAGCTTCGGCCGACACATGAACGTTTCAAGTGTGAGAGACGGGAGTGCGTCTCAAGCTGCCGGTCTCCGAGGAGGACGTGGTTCCACTTAAGCCCATGGGTCGAACGAATCGAATCGCTTCGTCTTTGCGCAATAACAAAAAAAGACATCAGAACAAAAAAAACACCGCAACAAAAAAATGTCGAGAACCAAAAAAGGCAAAAAAAAAAAAAGACAGTCGTACGTAAAAACATAAAAAACTGACCTTTTCGTCAAGGATGATCTCCACCCGCTCGGCCTTCATGGTCTCTGCCACCTCGAGCACGTCGTGCAGCCACCGGCTTCCGGGCGGCGAGCGGCTCTTCGTACTGGAGCCGGCACCGCTAACCTTGCCGCCGCTCCCGGCGGCATCGGTCGTGGCACCGGCAGCGGCGGCGGCGGCGGCGTTACCGGGAGAAAGGTTCAGGAGCTCGCCGATTTCTCGGGCGATCGGGCAGGGCATGGACTGGAATTGAATGAAACACACGGAAAAGACAAAAGGGGGGGAGGGGGAGGAATCTGGTTGACGGGATGGACGGGGTTTGTACGTACATGAAATAGTAACGAGAGATGATGTAGGCTGATGAAAAATTCTAAGGCATTGCTGCATCAACTCAGAAGTAAAGCAAAGGGGGGTTTGGAGCAACATAAGCAACAAGAGCGACAACAGAAACTGGTCTGTGTCCGTTGTGCGCGGAGGTCCCCCTTACAATCAGGAGTACGTACCTGAGTGCCGCCCTGGCTAGAGAGAAACGCCTCTCTCAGACCTCGAACTCCCAGCGATTTCGCCGCCTGGAGAGGAAAAAGAAGAAACAAGAGCAGCAGCGAGAAAGGCGACTAAGAACTAGATTGAAGGGAATAATATATTGCGAGGTATTGTGATAAGGTGACGAACAACGGAAACGTGGTAAAACGAAAACTGAGGGGAAAAAACAAGCAACAGCAGTTACAAGCCTCTCGACCACCCCCCCCCCGCCCCCTTCCCGATGCCCACAAAACGCAAGGAGGAACGGGATCACGGCACTTGGTCAAAAGGCCTGTAGGCTAACAAGAACAACCGAGTAAAACCACCCCTCCCAATCCCCCGAAAAAAAGCGAGTTCTTATAATGGTCGATCATACAATAGCCGTGGGTCAAAAGGCCTGTAGGATGACAAGAGCAAGTGAGGGAAGCCATCCACCCACCTACTCCCCCAAAAATAAGATAGGCGTGCCTATCATTACCTCATCCCCGACATCCGGATGCACTAGGCGGAGGTGTCTCAGCCGGGAAGAGAGCCATCTTGCGTGTGCATACATGCCGGTACCAAAAATAAGAAAAGCGGGGGAGGGGCGAGCGGATGTGTCTTGGAGCGTGTTTGTGTTTGCCGCTGTCAATGTTGATAAGTATCACGAGTACGGGCGATGAAGACGGTGGTCATCATGCATACAGCAAAAGAAGAGGTCAAGCCTGCGGACACACACCAACAGCGGCACCGGCATCAATTCGACCAAAACACACAACTCTAATCGAAAGACGGTACAACACCCCCAATACTTATCTCTTTTCTACGCGTCGCAACTTCCTTTTCCACACCACAACAACAAAACGCACGCCGATCAGACAGCTAGAGCCCCGCCGCCGCCGCCGCCGCCGCTGTTGCTACGACAGAGTAGCTCGTTTCTAGACACACCGACTTCCTTTTCGACACCGCGCCTAACATACTTCGAGAGCCGCCGCCGCCGCCGCCGCCGCTGCTGTTGCTACTATAATAGCTCGGTTCCATACACAGCAACTTCCGTTTCGAAACCGCGCCTATCAGACAGCTAGAGACGGCGCCGCTGTTGCTGCTGCGGTTACAACACCACGGAAGAGGGAATTTTCTTACGGGGCGTCGTCGTAGACCAGGCTCGAGGCGGGCAAGAGGAAGGGCCCCGCCTTGTCTGGCAGCAACACCGACTCCGGCTTGATGCTCGCCCGATCCTCGGGACCTAGCTGGGACAAGATCTTGACGAAACCTTCATGAGCAGCAGGCACGAGAGATAGAGAGATGAGGTTGTGATCCAGGTCGGGATCGTTTTTTTTCAAGTGTTGGTGACCTCGGTATCACCAAACACTACCGCCGCCGCTGCCGTCTCTATAACGACACCGCCTTCCGCCTTCTTCGACATCTGTGTTACAACAACAGCTAGAGCGACAACAATCGCAGCAGCACCGCCACCACCGCCACCAATAGTACGAGAGGGATGGCGCGAGAGGGCACAAAACGCCCCATCACACATACCGTGAGGTTGCGAGTCAGCGCACAGGGGTGCGATCGATTTTCAAACCGTGATTTCTCCACAACCAGGAGGGTGCGAGCGCCAACTGATGCTTCTCAGGAAAGCTCTCGATGAGATATTTCCAAAACCGCCCATTTTCGACAGTGGTAACCTCCTGGCTGTGGAGAAATTACGCTTTGAAAACCGTTCGCACCCCTGTGCGCTGACTCGCAACCTTACGGTACTCACCTACGGCTGTGGCGAGGGTATCCGAGTCTAGTGGCCTTCCCCTGGACTGCGCCTCCATGCCACACAAAACCTGCACGAAATTGTCCGGGCTGAACTCCTTCGGCACCCCTAGGGCCGAAAGCAGCGTCTCGTAGCCTTGCAGCTCGGTCGGCACCTGGGACGGGTGAGGGCGTAACGGTGTGGGGTTAGATAGCGGTAAGGCCGAGGGTCATTCCCGGGGTTGACGGTGTGGGAGTAGGTAGGGGTAGGGCCAAGGTGTCATGGAGGGCGACGCACGAGGGAGCACGCATCCCGTATACCATGCGTCGTTTACGGTAATAGTCACACAAGTAGGCGGGAGCTCAAGGGTCATGGAGGGCGACAAATAAGAGAAAAAACGCATCCCACGCATCATGCTGGTGTCCCACATATCGTACTCGCCACACATGACACACTACTGGACCATGTTCAAAAACACCGATGCAGCGTCAAACGGGCGGCCTTTACTCGCGAGTGTAGACCACAAAAGAGGGCTGAAGACGGCGACAAGGGGGTCACGCTGTGTGGTCTCCTCGCAGGAGGGGTGAAAGGAATCGATCGCCCGCAGGAACCCTATCTGCATGGCCCCTGGCCGGCACCCCCCCCCCCAAAAAAAAAATACCGTTACGCCCGGCGGATCATCAAATGCCCCCCTGTAGGCCGGCATTTCAAAGCCTGATTGCTCCACAAACAAAGGGGGTGCCAGAGTTCCCAAAAAAGGGAGGGTGGTTGTGGAAGGTACGTCGTCGGGACACGTTTCTCCAGACGCACCGGTCGCGGTCTTTCGCAACCTTGCGGAGCGATCGAGCCGTGCAAATCGGCGGACACAGGGATTTAGTGATATGACCCCCGGTATGTGCCGAAAAGTGCCGTAACCGTCCAAGACCGATGGGACCGTAAATGCAAAAAAAGCTGAACACGTATCTACGAGTCGAACAACCCGGACAACCGTAAGCGTGTCTTCCTTCTCTCACCGAGCTGAGCATGTTTCCGGCAGCGATGGGCACTTTGAAGGCGACCCTGCTGCTGCACAGGAACTTGTCCCCGACCCACAACCAGTCCCTGCCCGTGAGAGCCGCCTTGACCTGGGTATTTGCCGTTGTCGAGATGGTCGTTGTTGTTAATCGTCGTCGTTGTTGTTAAGCGTTGCCGTTGTTGTTAATGTCGTCGTCGTCGTTGTTGTTGAAAGTCGACGTTGTTAATCATTGGCGTTGTTGTCGTGCGCATAGTTGTGCATGGTGTTCGTCGTCGTCGTCGCCGTCGCCATGAATTTGCAACGTTGGCGTTGGCCGTTTCATTGTTGTTGTCGTTGTTCACAGGGGAACAGAGAGAGAGAGAGAGTGGGACACGAACACGAGAGGGAGTGGGACGTGAGCAGAGAAAATTGGTTTCAGACCCGCATGTACACAACAACAGGCCAGCACAATTTTGCACTCCTGGAACTCTGGCAACAGCCGCTGCATGTGTATATCGTGCCATCACAGACAGGCGATCGGCTACCCAACCACTGACATTTCATTATCCCCACCGAATTGGGCCGGGACTGCTGTCAAAAGCTCGAAGAGGAATCAACCAGAACCGGTCGCAGTATGCAGCGCAAGACGCATGGGGGGGGGGGGGGGGGGGGGGGGGGTTTTTTTCCCCCCAAAATTTTTTTTTTTTAAAAAAAAAAAAAACCCAAAAAAAAAAAAAAAACGGGAAAAAAAAACCCAAAAAAAAATTTTTTTCCCAAAAAAAAAAAAAATCTTTTTTAAAATTTTTTTTTTTTAATTCCCCCCATTTAAAATTTTTTTTAAAAACCCCAAAAAAAACCAAAAAAAAAAAAAAAAATTCCCCCCACTTTTTTTATTTTTTTTTTTTCCAAAAAAAATTTAGGGGGTTTTTAATTTTCCCGGTTTTCTTTTTCCCTTTTTTTTTTTTTTTCCCCTTTTTTTTAAAATTTTTGAATTTTTTTTTTCAAAAAAGGGAACCAATTTTTCCCCGGGAATTAAAAAAAAAAAAAAAATTTTTTTTTTCTCTCCCCCCAAAAATTTTTTTTTTTTCTAAAGAAAAACCTTGAAAAAAACTTCCCCTTTTTTTTAATAAAAAAAAAAAAAATATAAACCCGGGGAAAAAAAAAAAAACCCTATAAAAACAACCCCCATTTTTAAAAAAAAAAAAAATTTCCCCTCTCTAATTTTTT